TAGGGTTTCTTACTGATTTAAAGTTTAATTAAGAAGATTTGCATTCACTATATTAATTTTTTTCGTAGTGTATTTCTTCTTTATTATTACATTTGATATCTTAGTATTATAAATTGTATATTAGTTATTATTAATTATTATTATTTGCTAGAAAATTTGAGTCGGTAAAGCATGTTTTTTTACTTTTCAGCATTGTACAAAAATTTAGTAAGTATAGATAAAAGTAGTGAGATAATAATTTTTTTTTCATGGAAAACGAGAAAAAAAATATGGGGCGTAGAACAGTTGAAAATTTTCACAATAAAGTATATGATATAAGAATATTCCATTCCTCGCAGGCTAAATGAGTGGATTATTTGAAAACAAATTGTTTGCGAGCTTTCGCAAAATCATCACGATGGTTTCCTTTCGCCTTTTACTTCCTCTGCTAGGGTTTCCGCCGTCACCATGATTTTGGGCGTTTGGTGGCTGTTCCTTCCCTTCTTTCTTCAGTTTTTCTGGTTTTTGCATCATGGCTACCATTCGCCTTCGCGATCCCGGATTCCTGAAGGGGGCGGCTGCGCCTCTTTCCTTTAGAGACGCTTTATCTGGTATTTCTACTACTTTTCCTGATTTATGCGTTTCTACCCATCGTGGTTTGCCGGCTCTGCTTATTTCTGAGGAGGAAATTCGTTCCCTTGCGGCCCCTTTTGATTTCGCCTTGGTTGGCCGTTTTCCGGGTCGGCGTCCGCCGGTGGACGCGATTCAGAATTTTTGCTTTAATTTAAAGCTTATTGGAGAATTTTCAGTCACTGTTCTTAATCATAGGAACGTTTTGATAAAGTTAGTGAACGATTTTGATTACTGCCGTATGTTTTCCCATAGATCTTACTTTGTGAAAAATTGTCTCATGAAAGTGGTGAAATGGTCTCCAAATTTGGACATTGAGGTGGAGTCCCCTATTGTGCCGATTTGGGTTTCTTTCCCTTTTCTTAGACCTCATTTGTTCTCTCCTAGAATTCTTTCTGGATTAGGTTCTCTTTTCGGTAAACCCCTCAAGTCGGATATGGCAACTGCTTCTGGTTCTCGTCCGTCCATGGCGCGTATCATGGTGGAATTGGATGTTACGAAAAATTACCCTGATAAAATTTGGGTTGGTTCTGTGGAAACGGGTTATGTTCAATCGGTGGTTTTTGAGGACATTCCGCTTTTCTGTATGCATTGTCATAAAAAAAAAAAAAAAAAAAAAAAAAATTGTTTGCGAGCTTTGTTGAAAAGTACAGAGCAATTTCTGATTTTATATATGTATATATGTATGTATATATGTATATATATTTGAAAATTTGATTTTTAAATTTTCAGTTTTTAGGCAAACACGTCATTATGAATGATATATCACATTGGAAGGTAAAATTATCATTCTCTAATGAGTTCATTTTATAAAACTACAAACTTCATTATGACTAGCATAGTTAATTAAAGAAAGAATTACATAAAATTCCAATGGTCAAAATGATGTTCAATTAAATATTTAGCTATCATAATCTAAATGTATTATCATTAATTTCATAATCAAAATTGTAATAATAAATGATATAGTGTCCAAAGGAAAGTATATATTATTTATCATCAATCATTTGAATATGAAGATAATGATTGATCTTGATTTTTTTCTCAAAGAGGATAATTTTCCTTTCGCCATTCAATTTAAGAGCTATGTAGAATGAGATATTACTTTTCTGGGGTCTTGAATCTCGTATGAGCTTTGAGTTTACTACGAATACTTTTGATTAAAATAATGATAAAAAATTTATTTGGGATCTTCAAGGAGTGATATGAAAGGAACGAGGTAAGAATTTCAATAAAGAATGAATCAATTTTGAGCACCTATTTTGGAGGAAAAGAATGAGATGTTTTAGACATTTTATGATTCTAAAATAATTTAGAAATGTCTCAATCTAACCTATGTGTTAGGCTTTACATTTTGGATTAGAAAATATTTTAATGAGATGATATTTTATTAAAATTTTGATATTAAATTTTAGATGTTTGAGACTTATGATTTTGAGTCTGTCCCGAATCTTAAATCTAATTTGGGCACAATATAATAGTAGCTTGAATCTAACTAATACAAATCTTGGCTTATCTCAGCCTGTATTGGAGTGCCAGCTAAATCACATATGCATTTTAAAACCATGAGTCCAATCTTTATGAAAGATGGGTAGTCTGTTATTTATGTTTTTGAAAAATTGGGATCAACATCTAAAGAAAATTTTAATTGACCCATTTTACTTATGTAGAGTAATTGTGCTAAGAATGCAATTAATTTAATTTATTTATAATGCAATGCATTTGGATTGACCTTGTATGTATAAATGATATGAAGCAGTTTAAAAACTTAGCATAAAAAATAGATTTTTTTTCTAGAGATTGTACAACATCTTCTAGATAGAGCTCCACAATAGTATGTTAGATGGTCTTCTAGGACCTGTAAGTAAGGAGGTGCCTAGCAAGGAAGATAATACATAATTTGAATGCTTGAGACCCTCAATGTTCTGAAGCTTATTTCTTAGGGTCATTTAGATTTCTACGTTGGCCTAAATTTTTATTTAGCTATAAGTAGAAAAAAATTTATCCTTAAAGAGCCTAATCGCATTCAGGCTAAAATAAAAGGAGTATGCATATAAGAAATCTAAAAATATTATGAAACTCCTAAGGTATATAAAGTAAATAAGTCAATTGCATCATATTGAATGAATGAAAAAGGACCATGTGGGAAATGTCACTTAATTATAATACAGGGTCTGCGAAAATAAAAAATGGTCGGACACAACTGGTAAAAAATATGAATTCTAATCCTAATAAGGATGCGATTTCTAAAATGGGATATTTCCACTTAGTGGCCATCATTTCTTCATCTTCTTTCGTCACGTTTCTTAGATTAATCAGAATCGGATACCAAAATGAGAAGAACTCTTCTCCAAAGAGGTGTTTTTTTTCTTTGGGTTTTAAGTCATCTAAATTTCAATATTCAAATGAAAAGAACTCTCTCCTGCGGATGTTACATTCCTCTTTGAAATTCAAATTGGATATCTAAATATCCCATTTTAGTTAAACTTTTAGAACACTTTTAATTTCAAATTACATATAGAAAATGAAAAAGACTCTAATATAACCTGCATGATTATCCTAAGCATTTTATATATAAAACCATCAACATCCCAAGCATTTATAAAGTCAAATTACTCTCATTTAAGCATAAAGCACACTTGACCATGTTTTTTTAATATTTTGATCGATAATTTTATTTCTGTTCCTATTGATATTGATAAAAGAAATTAGGTAACTCTGGTTATTATTTATTAAAATATAAAAGAATAATTTTTTCAATTTAGATTCTCGGGCATCATGATTTTATCCTTCTTAAAGCTAAATTAATAGCCCCACGGGCCCGAGTTACTCAGTAGTAACCAGTATTATTTGGATAATTTAATTAGTCAAATTAATGGTTGATCTTTTTAAATTAATTGGTAATTTGATTAAGTGACTTAATAATTTTCTTGAGTTTTGGTTGATTATTTAATTTTTTTAAAATTTTATGAATTATTTTAATTCATTAAATAGGGTGTCTATTTTTTTACTTTTTAATTTTTGTTAATTTTTGAAGTTTTGATTTTTTTTTATAAATATTAGACTCTGAGATTAGTAAAATGCAAGGTTCTGAAAATCGGACCGGACAACGATCCGGAAGAAGAAGAGGTTCACGGTTCGACCGGTCGAACCGGATAACGTAATAAATAATATTATTATTCTAAAAATTTAATAAAATTAACAAAATAAAAAAAGATAATAACTATATAATTTAATATAAATTATTGCTAATTTATATTACATATTTAAATTTAAATTATAAATATAAATTATTTAAAAATTCACAAATATAAAATTATAAATATAATATAATTAAATATTTTAATAAAAAAATATTTCATTTAGTAACATAAAAAATTTTTAGAGGTGAAAAACAAATAAATTTTTAGAGCTATTAATAAATTTATTTAATATTAAATAATTTATTTAACAAATATTATTCTAAAAACTTGAACCTGTTGGTTTTAAAAAACCGGGACCGGTTCGTCTGTTTACCGGTTGAACCGGCGGTTCATCCCAAAATCGCCCGATTTAATGCAAGGCCGGTTTTCAGACTGGACCGGACCGGTCCTCAAACCAGTTCACGGTTGAACCGGCCGGTCCGGTCTGATTTTTAAAACGCACTAAATTAGCTGGATTTGGATTTTTTTAGAATTAGTTATTATTTTTCAAAATTTTGATGTAATTTTAAGCTAAAGTTGACACAAAGAGTTAACTTTTTTATTTTTTAGTGATATCTAGAGATTTCATATTTTTTTAACAAATATTCAACAAAATAAATTCATTGGATTCACTAACAATGACCATGTTATGCTTAGAAGTTCCTAAAAATATCTAAAGCCTTATGTTATAAATATAAAATTGAATCATGTTAATTTCTTTTGAAATTTAAAGACTCGCAATTCATCTTAACAAAATGTTGTGTCATTCATATGATATTTTTTATTTTATTTTAAATTATTTAAAGATTTTCTCAAAATAATAAACAATAAATTATATAAGAAATAAATTTTCCCTCAGTTTGATATGCATCTACATATGAAAAAATTATTATGTACAGAGTGCGCATCGTTTGCATAACTACTGGGTGCATAGCGGTATCCAACGGTACCGAGTGCGGGTACCGCTAGGTACTCAATGTTTGTGTGGACGATTCTCCCCGTCCCTACTCCGCACCTAATAATCTCTCTCTCCTACATATGCTAGGCGTAGGATATCTTGTAGTTGGTTCAATTTGATCAGGGCCGGCTTTGCCGTGCACACGATCCCAACGCACTAAGCATGCGCTTACACGCACGGGACCTGACCCGCTAGCACATTTTATATAACGAAAGCCAAGGCAGGCTGAGTATTTAAAGAGGTCCGGATGATAGAAGAGTCACTAACGCCAATTTTGCATTCTTGTTTGAACATATAGGTGCCCGTTAAATTTGGAGCCTAATAAAAAGGGCATGAGAGAGCGGTGAAGAGAAGGGAGAGGAAAGAGCGAAACGACTGAAGCGGCAGAAGAGAACAGAAACTGTACGAGCGCTGGTAGTGGGATGGCCTTCACCACCATCGCTGCAGAGCCGCGGCTAATGGGAATTTTCACAAACGCCTAGTGGGCATTTGAAGAATACAAGTTCCCGCCGATTGAGGTGGAAGCCATATTCTATATGAGATTTTCATTCCTTCGCGGCGGTGGAATCTCGGGAGGAGGCCTTATCCCTACTTTTCAGTGGGCGATTACGGCGATCGGAGAGAGGGGTGGTGGCATGGGGTTGGCGGCGGACACCAGAGTCCGTTGCCAGAGAGGGAGAGGAAAGAAGGATGTGGTTGTGGTGATCATGGGCGCGACAGGGACGGGGAAATCGAAGTTGTCCATTGACGTTGCAGAGCGGTTCTCGGGGGAGGTGGTGAACGCTGACAAAATCCAGGTCTACCGCGGCCTCGATGTTACCACAAATAAGATGCCGATTCCTGATCGGCGCGGCGTGCCGCACCATTTGCTTGGTGCTCTGGATCCTGCTGCCGGCGAGCTTCCGGCGGAAGGGTTTCGATCTCTGGCTTCCGATGCGGTGGAGGCCATTACCACGAGGGGGAAGATTCCAGTGATCGCTGGGGGCTCCAACTCATACATCCATGCGATGATGGTGAATGGGTATGATCCCAGGATCGACCCCTTCTCCGGACCGCCGGCGGGGAGGCATCGGCTCCGCTACCGAAGCTGCTTGCTATGGGTGGACGTAGAAGCAGCGGTACTTGAGAAGCATCTGGACAGGCGGGTGGACGAGATGGTAGGGTTGGGGATGGTGGAGGAGCTGGAGAAATACTTCGCCAGGGGAGAAGGAGATCGGCATCCCGGGTTAGGGAAGGCAATAGGAGTGCCGGAGTTCACTGAATACTTCAGGCGGAGAACGGCATCAGCATACGAGGATGCAATCATGGCGATAAAGGAGAACACGCGACGGCTAGCAGAGGAGCAGGTGAGGAAAATAAAGCGGCTGGGTGAGATGGGTTGGCCGCTGCAGCGAGTTGACGCAACGGCCACGGTGGCCGCTCGGCTGGCAGGCGACGGTAGTGCCGCGCAAGCGGCAGCCTGGGAGCGGGACGTCCTCTGTCCCAGCCTCCGCGCTGTTGAGAGATTCCTCGAAGATAGACTCGACGCATCAGCAGCAACTCAAGTCATATAGCAATCAATCCGCGACTCGAACCCCTCGAGCTCAATCGATCGATACTCTTCGACACCCACGCGCGCGCTATTCTTCCCATTTGAGATAAAACAAACAATGAAGCGATGCAAAGTTGCAACGAAGCCGAAGAAAAAGTAAAAAAATACAAAGAGAAAAAGGTGGCCGTGTATCATTATCGTTATAATTTTGTTTTGTCGTTTATCTGTTTTATGGAAGCTCCAATGATCAGAGAAGAGATGAGAAATGTAGTGGAGAGAGAAGGATAATATAAAATTATAAATTAAAAAAAAAAGAACGGATAAAAGAGTAATTTGAAGGCCGGAGCAGTAGCAGCATTGGAGGCGGCCAATTTTGAAGCGCCTGGACGCCTCTCACATTAGCAGGGCCGACCGCCGGTGCTTCTCTTCGTAGTGAACGGTAACACGTTGAAAGAAGAAGACAATGTAGAGAGTTGGATTAGTTCGTTCATGACTCCTGGACGGGCGGGATGGGAATATGAGCCCTTTCATGGGTGTTTTAGTCTTTTCAATATTTTATATCTTTTTTTTTTCTTATAGAGCCACTTGTCATAGAGCTGCTTTATATACTCCATATTCTGCGTAGGCCCTTCCGTTTTTTTTTTCCTGCATTTATAATTTCCTCTTAATATTTTTCTTCTAATTTTCCAATATTCTTAAACACGAAAGGAGCAGCCTAATCACGATTAGCGCGCGTATTTAAGCCAGGCTGGCAAAAAGGAGCGCACTGAAGGTGTGGCGATGAGTAGTATTAAAATTCGTTTTCGCATGCGGACGGACCGCCTTGCTTCGCTTCGTCCTCTCCTCGTATAAAATATGCCAACTGGAAACTTATTCAAAAGAATAGAATCATGTAACGAACACGTAGAATAAAACAAAATTTCTATAAAGAAGGTTTTGCAAAATATCGGAGACATTTTTAATTAAAATAAATTTATTTAAAAAAAAAAGTTCGTCTAAAAAAAGTACGTTTTGTATCTGATTTTTACCTTTTTGTAAAAAAAAAAAATTATAAAACTATATATTTATCTTAATTTATGTTATTATGTTGAATCAATGAATTTGTCGAATTCAAAATTATTTGTAGAAGATATCAGAATCAAACACAATGAAGTTATGAGAATTTAATAAATCAAAACACGATGTGAGAGAGAGAAAAAAGTATGAGTTAGGAGAACTCAAAGTCTAAATAAAGAAAATTTTAGATTTTATCGGACAACAGAGTTGTAATCAAGGTTGTGAAAACCGGACCGGACAACGAACCGGAAGAGTGAGAGGTTCACGGTTTGACCGGTTCGACCGGTCGAACCGGGGTCGAACCGGATGATGTAATAAATAATAATATTATTAAAAATTAATAACATAAAAATCATATAATATAAGTATATGAGCATTTAATAATATTTATAAAATTTTAAAATATATAATAAAATTTTATACATATAAATATCATTTAAGAATAATATATTTATAAGAATAATACTTAATATAATATATAAATTTATAATATAAAAAATTTATGATCATTAATATAATATAACTTATATGTATTATGATGAAATTAATCATCATATTTAATAAAAATATTTTTAAAAGTTTAAAAAATTTTAATAAACAAAAATATATTTTTAAAATTTTAATTAAAACAAAAATAAAATATTTTTATGAACCGGCCGGTTCTTTCCAACCCGGACCGGTTCAACGGTTCACCGGTTGAACCGCCGGTTCAGTCCGGTTTGCTCCGGTTCTATGCAGAGCCGGTTCTGAAGCTGGATTGGACCGGCCACCAGACCGGTTCACGGTTGAACTGGCCGGTTCGGTCCAGTTTTCAAAACAGTGGTTGTAATTTGTAAATGACTTTTCCCCTAAAAGTTCTTAAAATAGGCTTCTTAATTGCATTTATAGAGTTTTTAGCATCATAAAAAGTAAAATATGCATTCTAATTTATTAAACATGTGATCTAAAATGTGTATCTAGCTAACTATATTAAATTCTACATACCCTGAGTTCATGTAGTGCATGGCATTTGATATATCATCAAAAAATTATCTTGATCGGCCACGAATCTCGAGGCAAAATCAGGCTGGAAATTTTAAAAATTAAATTCGAGATCACCTGAACTCCGATTTCAGCAAACTTACCGTCAAGCTGAGCGTCTCGGAAATACGAACCCAACGACACCAAATTCGACTAAATCCGAACCCAAATGAGCCCAAATCAAGGACCCGAAGCTCTATTGGAAGCTTCATACCACTGTTTGAATTACCAAACGGTTTCCAAATATGATGAGCTTATAGTCGAATCGAGCGGCTCGACGAGACGAATCCAATGAGCCCAAGATCACTGAATTCCAAAGTAATTAAGGCCTCCAAATGCCTGACGAACGGCCCATGATCAAGGGATTCAATATTGGGTGTCCATAACCACTCCCCATTTATCATTGATCTCTCACCTATTTACGGGCCATGCCACTCTAGAAATTTATAACTAGACCCCTCATTTCTCTTGAAAAGGGACCAAGCAAGAAGAGAAGAAGAGAATAGAAGGAAGAGAAAAGGAGAGGAAGGAAGAAGCTCCTACTCGACCACCACCGGAGTTTCGTCGGACCACCGCCGGAGCTTCGCCAAACCACCACCTGAGGCCCTCGTCTTCGTCGGACCACCACCTGAGGCCATCTCCTTCGCAGGACCACCATTTGAGGCCCTCACCTTCGCCGGAACACCACCTTAGGCCCTCACCTTCGTTGGACCACCACCTGAGGCCCTTACCTTCTCGGGACCACCACCGGAGGCCCTCGCCTTCGCTAAACCACCGCCGGAGGACCTCACCTTCGCCAGACCACCGCCAGAGGCCTTCACCTTATCTAGATCTCCACCTGAGGCTCTCACCTTTGCTGGACCACCGCCAAAGGCCTTCACCTTCACCAGACCACCACCTGAGGCCCTCGCCTTCGCCAGATCATCACCTAAGGCCCAGAGTTCTGCCAGACCATCATCTGAGACCTGAAGTTCTGTCAGACCATCACCTGACACCTGAACTTCTATCATATAATTGTTACTTTTAATCTGATCGCCCTCGGAGGCGAGTTAGCCCATTGTAACCGACTCAAATTATAGTGGAATCATTTTCAACTGGGCTATGCGCCGTGGTTTTTCTCTTTTCAAGGGTTTTCCACATTAAAAAAATATTGTGTTCTCTGTGTGTGAGATGGATATCTGAGCAATGCTAAAACGTAGTATTCTAACTATATCGCCGCGTATATTATAGCCCGCAACAGCATTAATGACCACGCTCGAACCACGATAGGCCATCGACTTACTAAAGTTGATTGTTGAATTGCACTATCTTGATTGCTTAAAAGAACCTGCTAAACAAACTACAAATCTACTGAGGAAGGCACCAATCAGCTAAAAAACTCAATTTATTGTGTAAGTCAGTGTCCTTCAAGAGTCCCCTTCTTAAGACGAGTTCATTTGTTGGCGAATTCCTCAAGCCGAGATGAAATAGATTTTAATTGGACCTAACTAGCTTGATTTGAACCAAATTGACTTGTCTTGAATCAATTTTATTTAAACTGAGCTTTAAATATTTAAATGTACACTTGTCAAATTTATATGTTCAGAGGATATATGGATGCTGATTTTTATTCAAAGTGAATTGCGACGAATATAAGAATTTAGCAGCTCAGTAAAAATTCATTTTTTTCAACGTGAAATTTAGTAGGGCTACTGAAACTTTCATACAGTATTCTCTTTGATTTAACGCTAATTGCATTTTTATTTCTTTCAATCGCTCTTTTTGCACAAATTCCCTACCAAACTCATAATCAAAACCTGAAGGTCGTTGAAATCATAGTCAGGGCGGCGCTCCGTAGTACGACGGGTTTCACGGTGCGGTTAGACCAGTTGAACCGAAGCCCACTTCTCCCTATTCATTCGCAAAAAACCAATTGCTCCCATGGATTCGCATGCCCCAATCTGTTCACAAGGCACAATTCCTCCATTCGGACCTCCCATTCCCGCAGGCCATGACAAACCCGCTTAGGCTTCTCCGCACACCAGCCACATTCAGTTTTCGATCTACATGAAAATTCCATTCACGTGAATTTTTTTTTGGGACATTTAGACCATTTAAGGAAAACTCACACACACAACGCATGATACACATAGACTCGAACCCTATACCTCTTAGTTGGAAGCCTTAGCTCTCAACCAATAGGCCAAGGAGAGTTGTGTATTCACATGAATTCCATTTAGTGAATTCCTGCAAAACAACTTCAATAAAGAATACAAAAGGTATTAAATATTCTTTTTCAGAATTGATATGCGAGATGTTGCATTAAAAAGACCTTATTTCTATTTGTAAAAGCAACTTTTGATTACTTATTTAGAGATAAGTGAGCAGATGTCAGATGTTTGAAATATTCTAAAATTAAAGACTTTTCTTTATTGCCAAATTTTATATCTGTTGGTTAAACTTTTGAAATCTTTCATTCAAATTATATACATTTATAGGCTTAAATTTCTTTCAGTAATTTCATTCCCTATCTCTCTAATAAATACAATATATTGCAGTCATTATAATATTCTAATTTTTTATGATAAATCCCGTAGCTAACTTGCAAGCTTATAGAATCATACATGCTATATGTAAGGATTGTGAACAAATCTTTGGTACATGCATTATTTAAGATATTTTATTTTAACAACTATTTATATATACAAGTAACTTGTTAATAATATAATCTCATTGGAATTTTATCAACTCGTGCACTTCAATGATAAATAGGATAGATTTATAATAATATAAATATGATAGATTTATTTATTTTAATCATAGTCATATAATATGTAACAACAATTAACAATTGAATATTAATTAATGAATTAAACACTAATAATTAATTAAAGAATAGTTATTACGTTAATATATGGATTTTCAAATTCTATAATATACAATCAAAAAGTTCTAAAATGCTAACATTTTCTTAATGTAATAACTAATTAAGATTTACTTTAACATTTTATTTTTAAAATTATGAATTATTAAAATGACAAAATTTTAATAGTTATAATTAATTAATGAATTGTGTTATTAATTTATGGGATAGGCATAAATTAAAAATAAAATACAAATAAATATATTAATTCATTGTATTTAAATATAGAAATAAATGCAATTAAAATCTTTGGCATTTCAAATAATTGGTTGGTACTTAAATGCAATTAATGTAAATAAAATTAAGAAAACATCAT